CTGGGGTTGTTTTCTCTGAGCCTGAATCTTGGCTCCCTCATCATCCAAGGAGCTCAGTTAGAGAAAGGGCAGGAGTGAAAATGGTGCTTAAAGGAAAACCTCACAGCTCTCCAGCTTCCTCAGCCCCAATTATTTAAGTATAGGAGGCCCAGTTTTCCCCCATGTTCTTACATCAGTCTGATGTTTGGGGCTCCAGAGAGAAACCACCAGCAGAACCAACCCAATCTCAGCCTCTGAGGAGGATCTTGGGGTGGGTAAAAGGACTCCAGCTGCTGCCCTCAGAGCTGATTTGGGAATTTACACAATTTCTGCTTTGTCTAAATTCAGAAAATATGGGTATTATTGGCATAAAATGTAATCTATGGAAACTGACAGACTCTGAAAATTGTGGCTGTTGGAACGGACAAAACTTCAATGAAAGACCAAACTTGGATTATGCAACTGACAAATCTTATTAGGCTTTGAGATCTGCCTGTTTCTTGTATAACTGGAGAAAGAAGTTAAAAAATTTCCTCCAGAAAGAATCTGTGATAGAGAAGCAAAAAAAGATACAGCAATCCTCGAAAATTATAATAGGTCCTTTATTGGAATAGAATATTCCAGTTGGCATTTGCACGTTTTAATCTAATTGTGATCAACTGTAGGGGTGATACAGTAATATGATTTACATTTTTATTGTTTTTTAATTTGCTTATTATTTTTCATTATTATGATACAATTTTGTTAATATTCTGTCTTTAATATTTTAAACAATGTCTGATTAACAAACTATTCTAATACATTCATGAGAACCAGGTTGGATTTATTAAAATCTAATATTTTTGACTTGATCTGATCCCAAATGTAACACAGCTTTCTTCATTGCTTTTTCAGATCAGTCATGACATTGTTTCAGAGGCTCTGAGTGATAAAAGTCATTTCCCATTTTTCCACCATATTCTCCCCAAAGAAGGATTCCAGTACCCAGCAATTGTCCACCTGCTCCTCCGTTTCAGATGGACCCTGATTGGCCTCTTTGCTTCAGACACAGAGAAGGGAGAGAATTTCATGAGGATTCTTCCTCCTATGCTTGTCAGGAATGGAATTTGTGTTGTTATATCACAACTGTTCTCAACAACTGGACACACAAGAGCATCCCTCAGGGATTCCCTCTCTAAGTGGAGACAAGTCAATGTCTTTGTTCACTTCATAGAAAATTTTTCCATTTGGGAGAGAATTCTTCCTTTCCATTTAACATTTATGCGTCTCCCAGGACCCATTGAAGGGAAAGTCTGGATCCTCACAAATTTTATAGGGTACACTCTAAACAAGCGTAGACTTCTCAAATACATCCATAGTATTTTGAACTTTGGTTATCTGGGAAAAGAAAGGCCAATGGATGATGACTTTGAACCCCATTACTTTGTGGAAGAAAAGTTTCAAGATCCTTATTTCCGCTGTTCTCTTTCAAAGAACGTCTTTTCTGTCAAAGGCCGCAGAAGATGCACCCAGGAAGCCCCACTTGTGTCCCAGTGGAAATGGGACGGGATCCAGATCCGAAATGACTACCATGAGTACAGTATCATTCAGACTCTGGCCCAGGCCTTGAATGCCGCTTATTCCTCCAGATTGAGGAGGAGAAGGAAGGAGGGAGAAAAAGACTTTGGGGTCTCCAGGCTGCAGCCATGGCAGGTATGGGGTCATGATATGGATCCATTAATCTTAGATCCTTTGGAGGAGGAATCCAGAGGAGAAGGAGGGGAACCAACTCAACAGATCTGGCCAATTCAATTACTCAGGGAATAATGGTTCCAAAGAGTAGATATCATGGCATTTTGATATTAAACTCTGCTCATTTGAAAATGCTGTATTCTTTCTTAAATGAATTCCTGTATTTGTGGGTTTGTGATGAGCATGGTGGAATTTCCCCTTTGTTCCGTCCCCACTGCAGGTGGGTCTGTGTTCAGCTCAACAGGCAGCTCAACCCCCTCTTCTCCTCCAGTGAAAGGGAGCCTGGGGTGGATCTGGGTGTTTCATTGGGAGAAAAGGGCACAGAGAAACTGAGGAGATGCAAAGAGTGAGAATCAAATATAAATAGGAGATAGGCAGCATTAACTATCAGCCAACAAAGAAGCAGCTGGAACCTCTCCAGCGATGCTCCGTGTGAGGGACGGAGGCCTCCGGATGACCATGTGTCTCGGTCAAACCGGCTGCTTCCGTCTCCTCCAAAGGCTGAGAGAAAAGGGAGTCTGGCTTCAGACCATACAGTGAGGCTTATCTGCCCCCGGCCACTAGGTGGGGCTAGAGCAACAACAGCACAATAGATACATGTTGTGGCATGACAACCTTTATAAATTTGGAGGAGACCCTGAGACCATCTAGCCCAACCCCTCCTCTCTGCAGGAATCCCAGTTAAAGCTTCTCTGACTGATGGCTGCTCCGTCTTTGCACTCAGATAATACATGAAGAGGAGACTGAACTTCTCTGCTTTACTGGCTCAGCTCTAAAACAGCTCATCCCTTTATCATATTTTTTTTCTCTCATTCAGCTAAAATCTCTCTCTTTCAACTGAATTTATTTTTCCGTGTCTGACACTCTGGAATAATAGTGAGCAGATCTTACGCTCGTGTGTAACCTGTGTCAGTGATTGGAAGAGGGCTGCATCCTCCCTTCTCCAACCGAGAGATTGTGTCAGTTGGAAAAGGGGCTCCCAGACTCCTCCTGATCTTCAGCTCTTCTCCTTGTTCTCTTTCCTCAAGGCTAAGAGCAGCTCCTTTGATCTCTTCCTTGGCTTATTTCTCCTTCCCTGAAGTTCACATAAACTTTGTGCAAATTCTCCTCCAAGCGTGGTGTCTGCAAGGGGACCTGGTCCTTGAGTTGGGGTCTCCCCAAACCACAACATTCACTTCCTTAGATTCTTATGACTGCATTTGCCTTCTTTCCATGAACATCATAGTCTGTTTCCAGTTAACTACGATTTTGAGACCATTTTCACAAACATGCATATCAAGTTTGGTATCCCTCATCTTTCTTCCAGTCCATCATTCGTGTTCTTTTACGAGACTCTATTTTTAGTCAAGTCCTAGTTGCTGAAACTCAGATTTTTTTCTATTGCTTTTTACTCATGCACCCTTCTCTCTGTCCTAATCATAAATATTGTTTCTGGAAACTTGATATTATTTTATTCAAAAAGGTAAAATATAAGCTTAAAAAAATAAAACTATTACAAAAACAAAACAAAACTAAACAAAATATTTTTTTAATTGTGCATTAAAAACAGACAAAAACATGCATATTGTCCCCCCAGTTGAATACAAAACAGCAATAATAGTTTCTCCCCCTTGCAAAATAGGCCCACAGTTATAAACTTCACATCTATTTGCAACTACTTGACCTGTCATCTATCTGCTGTATATAAAAAACGTAGTTAACAGGCAATCCAACAATAAAGTTACATATCAAAACTTCAAAATGGTCTGTTATCTGCTATTGTATTTAACACAGAGAAAATTTACAGGGGCTTCTTATCTACCACAGACCACCACAATTATTATCTCTGATCCATTCAGAATCTGTCCAGGGTTAAACATCTTTCTTTGATTCTTAATAATAATGCATTTCCTTAAAATTGTAATTAGAATCTTTCCCAACAACTTCTTTCCATTCCCCAAAGTCACAGGACCTCCTGTACATTGAAACACAAAGATTCTTAAGATTTGTTTTCCAGTTAAATATGGCAAGTCCATTCCCCAATCTCCCTCAATCTTCCTGAAAGAATCCATTTCTTCAGTCATCCGTTCTGTCCACTCTGAGTCTTCAGGGTCCATGGCCTCTCCAGCCATCTCCAAGCAGCCTGCCTTCAAACCAGACTCCTCCTTCAGGGATGCCAGCAGGAAATTAAGTTCCAGTCCATCCGATTCAACAATTGTAGCTTTCTTCTGATTATCATCTTTAAGTTGATTTGAAAGCATTGTTATTTTATCAAACTTTTTAAATGAAGTTTCAAAAAAGGCTTGTAAGTTGAAAGACTTTATATTCTTTAAATCACATCAAATTAGCTTATTCTAAGATCGTATTAATTACCGTATTAATGACAACATAGAAAAATTGATGAGCAATGGCAAATTGTTATTCATCACCTTCAAATTTCATAGGAAAGATTAAAAAGGGTTAAAAACTATTTGAGTTTCATTTTGAAGACAGTTTTTATCCACTTATTATCCAGGCCTCAGGTTTCTAATCACATCACACAATTGTTTGTGAGTCCTTTACTGAAATCCAGTGATATCACCAGTCTTCCCATAATCTATTTAGAAAGTGTAATGATGTGTGAGAAAGACTTTTGGGATGAGGGGAAGAGAGGCTGCCTAGGGAAGGATCAGAGAAGAGGGGAGAATCCTGCAGCTGCATAATGGGAGAGAAAGAAACTCAGAAAGGATCCTGGCTAACTTTTCAGGCTGAGAAAAGAGTTGGTGGGAGATTTGTTCTTTCAGATCTGCAACATTTTGTTAATGTCACATTGCAATGAAATAGAATTAGCACATCTGGAGGTGTTTTCCATCAGGATGACCAAGAAGATTAGCCTGACAACTTTCTTCTTGATCAACCCATGCTTTCTGGGAATCAACCTCTTGTTTTCAAACAGCTTATGAATCATCTTTTACATTTTATTTGTCATCTGCTCTAGAATGTTCCCTATAATTATAAATTATATTTTCTCTCTATTTTGTCAGTATATGATTAACAATTTTTTTCAAACTTTTTCATTCACTTTTGAAGATAATGACAGTATTTGTATCCTATTTAACCATATTTGGAGATGAGACAATTGTAGAAGAAAGATTCAATATAAGAAATAAAGTTTTCTGTTTTTCAAATTCCTGGACGTTCCCATTCTAGTTTCATCCCTTTCTGGAGAAGAACGAATTTTGGAATATTTCTGACAGAAAAATGTACTTGGACCAAAATGGGAGATAACAGCAGATCTGAGCATTGACAGCTTCTTGGTTCTCCCCCAAGGAGGATGCCATGGAAGAGGCTCTGGCGTATTTTGAGAGACAGAGACTTTCTATCAACCAAGATGCTCTTTCACGGCTAAAGTTGCTCAATAAGGTGAGAGGAATGTTGGTGTGTTTTCTCTGTTTTCCAAAGGTCCCATTTCAAGTGGGCAAAGCCTGGAGTCTCCAGGGTGGTTGGCCTCCCATGCCAGTTGGTGTCATCTAATGGAAGTTCTTCAACAGACGGGACTTAAGTGAAATGGCTTTGCCATGTTTTAGGAAAATCTTTCAAGATCTTCCTGGTCAGAGGTTTCTTTCTTCATCACAGTTTAATTTCATATTAAAAAATCTAATGGAATAAAAGTTTCCTCAATCTTTTACAGTAAAATTTATTATCAGTTTTAATAAAAATATATCATCATATTTAAATCTTTTTTCAATTCCATCCCTCTGGACTACATTAAATAGAAAAGTCCTTTATTGCAGTGTTAAATGCCAGAAGCAAAAGGGAGGAACTAAAGGAAGAATCTGCCGTGGTCACATCTCCTACACCTGTTTGGAAGGAGTCAAAGACTTCATATTTACCTCCATGTAGCCCAGAATCTACTTGTTTAATGTCTATTTCTCCCCCCATTTTCCATGGATGGAAATCCTAACATATTTTATTTGGCATTCCTTGTTTTTCTGTTCAGTCCCTGCCTCAGTCCAAATGTGTGGAAAGTTGTCATCCTGGATTTGTCAAGAGGGCTCGAGAAGGAGAGCCAGTTTGCTGCTACGACTGCGTTCCTTGTCCGGAGGGGACCTTCTCCACTCAGGAAGGTGGGTCACACTGAGGAAAATGGGAGGCTTTCTGGAACTGGATCCAAATTAAAAAACAGATTGAAGCTCACCTAGTTTTTTATTTTTAACCTGCACAATTTCTTATCTAAACAGAAGTAAATCAAAAAGACTTGGAAGGAGGGGCTGGGAAGAGATGGGAGGAGGGGATGGCAGACTGGGAAAGCTTTACTAACAGTGGAGGAAATATCTCTCCTGCTTTTTAGTCTGGATATGTGCTGCTAAGTTTACCTTTCTAGGAACCTCTGAGATCTTTGAAACTAGATGAATTGTTTCAGGTCCACCTTCTGAAAGACCTTGCAATCCACTGTATATTGGATCCTCCCCTTGAGGATCACTGAGAAGGTGTCACTGGTCCATAATCTGGTGCTGCGGGTAGTTATGGGGAGAACTCATTACACAAACAGTCTGCCAGTCATGTAGATCAATCAATCAATCAATCAATCAATCAATCAGAATAGAGTAGAAGGAACTTTGGAGGTCTTCTAGTCCAGCCCCCTGTTCAAGCAGGAGACCCTAAACCATTTCAGACAAGTGACTCTTCAGTCTCTTCTTAAAAACCTCCAATGTTGAAGCACCCACAATTTCTGGAGGCCAGCTGTTCCACTGGCTAATTGCTCTCACTGATAGGAAGTTTCTCCTTAATTCCAGGTTGCTTCCAGATGTTACAAGATGCTGTAGGTATCCTCAAAGTCAAAAACATTAACTGCCACGTGGCAGGACTCAGGATGTTTGCCTAAAAAGATTATACGATTCATTATTTACCTCTAATAATCTAGGTTCCTATGAAGATTCTACACATTACAGAGGAAAGAATTAACATCCTAGGACTTCCCTCAACTTCATATACCCAGCTACATTTTTTAATAAAAAAATATATCTTTCTTATGCTATTTTTATGAAATAGTTAAGAAATACTTCTTGGAAAATGCCTGGGGTATCAGCTGTTATCCAAAGAAGCTTTTTCTTGCAAGAGAAAAGGACAGAATATTAAAGATAGATTGCTTTTTTGCTTTCTCAGATACGGAAAAATGCACCAAGTGTCCAGATGATAAATATCCAAATGTGGACAGAGTCCAATGTATCCCCAAAGTCATAACCTTCCTGTCTTATGAGGAACAACTGGGCATTATCCTGGTTTCTTTTGCCCTTCTCTTGTTCCTAAACTCAGGCCTTGTTTTAATCATTTTCATTAAATACGGAGAAACTCCCCTTGTCAAAGCCAACAACCGGGACCTCTCCTACATCCTCCTGGTCTCCCTCCTGCTTTGCTTCTTGTCTTCTTCTCTCTTCATTGGTCAACCAAGGAAAGCCACCTGCCTTCTCCGACAAACAGTTTTCAGCATCATCTTCTCAGTTGCCGTTTTCTTCTCTCTTGGCCAAAACCATCACGGTGGTGCTGGCCTTCCTGGCCACAAAACCAGGAAACCGAGTGAAGAGATGGTTGGGGAAGAGCTTGGCCAACTCCATCATCCTTTCTTGTTCTGCTGTCCAAATTCTCATCTGCTCCATCTGGCTGGGAGTTTCTGCCCCCTTTCCTGACTCTGACCTCCACTCCCAGCCTGGAGAGATCATCCTGCAGTGCAACGAAGGGGCCGTTGTCATGTTCTACGTCACCCTCAGCTACATGGGCTTCCTTGCTGCCATCTGCTTCACGGTGGCTTTCCTGGCCAGGAACCTGCCTGGGGCCTTCAACGAAGCCAAGCTGATCACCTTCAGCATGCTGGTCTTCTGCAGTGTCTGGGTGACTTTTGTGCCCACCTACCTGAGCACCAAAGGGAAATCCATGGTGGCTGTGCAGGTTTTCTCCATCCTGGCCTCCAGTGCTGGTCTGCTGGGCTGCATCTTCATTCCCAAGTGCTACATTATCCTTCTGAGGCCAGACCTCAACACAAAGGAGCAGCTCACAGCCAGAACAAATGTAAAAACATGAGATATAACACCATTGTGATATTGGAAGAATTATTAGATTTTCTTTTATTTGAAAGGAGATATTAATTCTCTCTATTTAGATAGTATGCAAGAAAAGAAAATCATTTCAATGTTTCAAAATGGCGATTCCCCCCCTCCAACCGGATTGCCTTCTCTTCCAACACCGGCCGGCAGAATGACTCCCTACGTTCCCCCCGAACCTTTCAACCCGAACCAACATGACTGGCTCGCATATATGGGACAATGCAGGATTTTACTGGAAGCTAATGGCCTGCGAGGAACTGGGGACGAAGGAAAGAGAGCCCTGTTCCTCAGCTATTGTGGCAACCGCCTGTACAAGAAGGCTGAAAGCCTGGCTGCCCCAAAGAACATCAAACCATGGAATGGAAGGAATGACAAGAAATGCTGGAGGAACATTATGCCCCCGCAGCATCGCCATTCGCCCACCGACTCGAGTTTTACCATAGAGAGAAACAACCAGGTGAGACCATTAATGACTAAGTTACCAAGTTGAGGGATATAACAGCCGGTTGCAAATTCGAAAAGGTAGATCAAATGCTACTGGACAGAGTCCTTGTGGGCATGAGAGACCTGAGATTGCAGAGGAAATTAGTGACTAAGAAAGCGCTCACTTTAAAAGAGGTACTGGAAGAGGTGAGGGCAGCTGAACTTTCTGATAAGCCATTGACCGATAACCCCAAGTCAGGAAGTGTCCGTTCCTCCAGGTGGGCTGACTATAGATACATAGACAGGGGTGAAGAGGAGAGAAGCAGGAAGAAGAAGAAGAGGAAGAAGAAGAAGGAAAAGGAGAAGGAGAATAAGAAGAGGAAGAAGGAAAAGGAGAAGAAGGAGAAGGAGAAGGAGAGGGAGAGGGAGAGGGAGAGGGAGAGGGAGAAGGAGAAGGAGAAGGAGAAGAGAAGGAGAAGGAGAAGGAGAAGGAGAAGGAGAAGAAGAAATCTATAGACTCAAAGCAGAGAGAAAGCTGAGGCAAAATGAGGCACAACAGGGAACCCCGTGGTGTGCAGGATGCAAAGGGAATCACCCCAGGTCGGCGTGTAGGTTGAAGGATACCAGATGCCAATGGTGTGAAAAGAGGGGGCACATTGCAGAAGTGTGCAGAGCGAGCCTGCCTGCATATCCCAACCACAGGCAGCCTCCCAACAAAGGGGATTCCAGAGGGCACCAAACTCAAACTACAGGCGGGAAGGAGACAGAACCGCAAGAGAGAGAGCCTTTCCCCCCCCCCCCAAATCATTTTTTACTTTAAAACAAAAAAAGAAAAAAGAAAACATACAAACATCGTTCATTCAATCAAGTACAGACAGTACATCGGTCGGTTTGCATCCCTAGTGCCCTCTCCTCTCTTCACAATAGTGCTGCATATCCAAAATTTAATCTTACATAAAATGTATCAGTTGTATCATCATTTAAGTATTTCGACATTTGCTTCCATATCACCATTTTTTGTTATCTACCCAGTGGTAAAATAAATCCCATATCAAATAACATTGTTTTTCTTCCTGCTCTCTTATTTCAAATGTCAGTTTACTCATTGCGGCACAGTCCAACATTTTCCTAATAATTTCTTCATCCGAGGGTATCATTTCTTCTTTCCAATTTTTAGCAAATACAATTCTAGCTGCTGTTAGAAGATTCACAGTTAAATACTGCAGTTCTTTGTTATATATTTCTGGTAAGATCCCTAATAAAAATATCTCTGGTTTAAAGTCTATGTGTCTCTTGGTCATTTTTTCCAACCACATGTGTATCTTAGTCCAATATCTCCTTGCTTCTAGGCATGTCCACCACATGTGGTAATAGGATCCTGGGGTCTGATGACATTTCCAACACTTCTCTGATTTGTTCTGGAACATTCTGGCGATTCTCGATGGGGATAAGTGCCACCTGTAAAACATCTTATACAAATTTTCCTTATATGCTGTAGACATTGTCATTTTATAATTATGAGACCACAATTTTTGCCATTTTTCTAAATCAATCCCATAACCAAAATTTTCCCCCATGCTACCATCGATTCTTTAACTTGTTCTTCTTCCAGTTTTAACTCTAGCAAAAACCCATACAACTTTTTAATAATATAATCATAAGCTCCCATTAAAATCTTATCTAAATTAGTCAAAGCATTGTAAAACCCTTTACAATCTTCTCGATACCTAGAAAATATTTGCATATATGAAAACCAATCCGTCTTAAATCCCTGTTCCTCTAGTTTCTGTTTTAATTTGAGTTCACCCTTTTCATCCAATAGTTCACTATACCTGATAGTTTCTTCCTTTCTAAATATTACGAAATATTAAGAAAAAGCCTCTGCTGTGGATACCCAAACAGGTATTTTCAAATAATAAAGTTTTTTAACCTTCTCCCAATTCAGCCCTAAAGCTTCATGTATTTGATATCTTCTAAAACACCCTTGTATTTTTGTTCCTTTATACCATAAGAAAGCATGCCAACCCATCAACAAATCGTGTCCCTCCAAATTTAATAGTCTAGTATTCCTCAGAGTTATCCATTCTTTTATCCACGTTAAACTTGCAGCTTGATAGTACCATTCAAAATTGGGCAGACCGAAGCCCCCCCTTGATTTAGCATCTTGTAACAGCTTTAACTTTATTCTCACCTTTTTCCTTTGCCATATATATCTCGTTATCATTTTATCTAAGTCTATAAAAAATTCTTTATCCAACTTAATTGGAATTGTCTGAAATAAGTACAAGATTCTAGGCAAGACATTCATCTTAATGGTTGAAATCCTGCCAATCAAAGACAATTGGAAGTTGCCCCATTTCAACAAATCTTGCCCTATCTGTGGTTTAAGCTTGTTGTAATTGTTTTCTTTCAGAGCACTACATCTTGGTGTTAAATGTATCCCCGAGTATTTCACTTTGTTTGTGATCTGCATTTTTGAAATCTCCATCAACTCTTCTTTCTGTTTTTTCAACATATTTTAGTCATTACTTTCGTTTTATCCTTGTTAATTTTCAAACCAGCTACTTTTCCAAAATCTCCAATAATTTCTATTAATTTACTTATTGTTGAATGGTTCTTCAATAATAATAAAAACCAA